TGTCAGCTTCACTGGTGCAAAGCTGTGCCGTTCTGCAACGTACATACCCCTGAGGATGTAATTCTGGTAGTTCTGGTCGGCTTCGGCTCCAACTTTTATCAAACACGTGAGTCCTTCGGCCACCACAAACTCGTGCACAAGGTCTTTGTCATCCTGGCAACAGAGAAAAAGGAAAATATCCAAGATTATAAACTCAAACATTTTATTTATTTTGTGTGGATTCATAACAGCAGTTGCCTCGAGAGGGCACTTCATATTGCAAGGTAAAAAAGCCAGAAATGAGAGCATCTTATATGAGCAAGCATTTGGTGACAGTGGGAAGGAAGAACTCCCTTTTAACAGGAAGGAACCTCCAGCAGCCAGAGAGAGCCAACATCAGAAAAGAAAAGACAAAAAACCCCACAAACTATGGGAGAGAAAAGAAAATGTAGCAGCATATAAATGCATGGCACTCAGTGCACTATGGGAAATCACCCAGCAGCCTGAGCATTTAGCAGCATAACTAAAGAATTGTTCAGGGTCACCTGATCCAGCCCCAACTATGAGCCTCATCAAAAAGGAAAGTTTGAAGCTTAAACTTAAAAACCCGACAGTTGCTTCTATGGGCACTGAAGGATGGCTCCAAATGAAACTCAGATTTCATAGATGCCTTTGTGAAAATGGCCAAATTTCTAGCAAAAACAAACATGCTTACAGCCTTTTGCTGAAAACAGTTTTGGTCTCAAAAGCTAACACCCTTTCATATCAACTGTATGGGGAGCCATTTTTAAATAACTCATTGTTTTAATTGCATTAACTTTAACAGTTATGAATAATTAGAGGTACCTATGCTGAGCAATGTGGGTACAAACACAGGCAGACACTGTATGGCTACTAGCTCTCTGCTAGACTTCATGTCTAACAAACTCAACATCTCTACCTCGTTTTTCATGTTGGTGCCTTTTGAAGTATTTTAAATGCAAATATCTGGCAGGTACCGTGGCGTTCTTGTGGGTAACTGTACTAACAACCTATCCAAACAATGTCTTCTTCAGTTTTGGTGAGGGAAACTCTAGCATTTTATTTGTATGTCAAACAGCACTAACTAACTAAACTCTGTGTCTGGGTGATACATACACATTTTTATATAAGTTTAAATAAAATGATGGATAAATAAAGTAAATGAAATGATGTGAGTGAAGCACAATGAATGTCACGGTGGCTACATCCATTTTAATATACAGTTTATCTGTATTTTTTACTTTATACTATTATATTGATAGAGTTATTCTGAGCATTATATACTTAGCTATAAGGCTAATAAAAAGTAAGCTTAAGAAGCACAGTAATGTGATAAAATCAGCTCAAGAATCTAGTGAGATAATTTATGCTGATCTTTAAAGGCACGATTTACCCAAGAAAATGTATTTTCTCTTTGGCCTGCAGCGCTTGGTTTAGTGCAGATAGTCACTACAGAAAGGTCCATCTTATCTTGATCATATTATAACTAAATGAATGCCACAAAAACAAGAGAGCTGGTGACTTAATGTGAGCAAATTAGAGTAATTTCATCTGCGCACAGGGGGTAAAACCACTGGTTAATCCTCCTGCAAAAAAGATTTACTAAACAACACTTGTAATATTTGTTTTACTGCAGGCAAAAAGACTATTTCTTGTAAGAGAACAGCTACAGACACACTTTACTCATTCCAAATCATCAGCTGGTTAACACTCAGCAGAAGTTTCTCAAATTCAGTAAAAAGTGGCTGCAGATGCAGTGAGAAGTGCAATCTGTTTGCAGCTTGTTCAAATGGATTCCTGTTGCTTCGGCCCCTCCACTTCATCCCACATTTTGTCCTTGATGACAAAACCACCTGCACCTCTCACACCTGTCGATGACTCCATAATTTAAGGCCAAGCATTAGGTTTTCCGCAGGATTTAACATTTTCTGATGCGCTCTACTGTTCAGATGGGATCGAGAGGAAAGCAGCAATAAACACAGTGGGGTGGTCAGGGCTACTTCTCCCCCAGGAGGAAGTCTAAGTGCTTCCAGAACATATTTACCATATATCTGTGATGGAGACTCCAGTCATTTGGCACAGCCTAAACATACAGGCGTGCACTAAAGAAACAGAATGACCAGCAGTTACTAAACTCATACATGTGTATTACAGAACTGTAGGGAAGAAAGACATCGATCAGAGATATTTTACAAGAATTGTCACTGTTCTCTACAGCTGATAACTCACAGGGACACTCAGAGTGTAAAAAGTAAGGTATATTAATATATCCTGAGCATATATCAATGCCTGTTGCTCTCTTTTCCATTTAACTGTCAGTTATCCCTCCCCCTCTGCGACCGACTGCCCGCTAGCCCAGCCCAGAGTGTGAAGTATGACCAGACCTGAACACTCCACAGCTGCCACGAAGGCAGACTCTCAGCAGCACAACTCTGCCTCAAGAAAACAGTAATGTGTCCAAGTGCGAGCGTGAATGTGTGCACTGACTTCTTGTATGTTAATGCGTTTAAATTGACCAAAGAATTCACAAGATTTTGAAAAAATGATTATGAGAAACACAAAGCACTGTGGGGGTTGAATGAGGTGCAGTTTTAAGATGCTCTTACTAGACATCAGCTAGAATGAATAAATAATTACCTGAAAAATCTGCTTGAGGGAAAAGAGGGCTCTCCGCAGCTCCCGTCCTGTTGAGTTGTAGAGTTTTTCTGTATGGAAAGAAATCAGGGGTGAGTGGAAAAAAAAATCAGCTGACAGTCACACATGTGGTATGTAATGTTACTAGACTTGCAGGATGATTCTGACTTTGCTTTAAAGTAATGTGTTTTAACTGCATCAAACTTGACGTTTCCATGGACTGAAAATGTAGAGAAAACCCCTTCATCGTGCACTCATTGGAAGCAATTATCCCCAGTGGTTAAATATGAAAGCTATCCAAAAAGAGAAATAGTGAGAGCAAAACAGTAGGAGCAACTCAGAGAACATCTGCAGTGAGTTAGAGAACAGAGGATGTTTCCTGCTAACATCATACAAAGTCATGCTGGAAATAGCCACCACAAAGGCTAAGAAACAATACATGCTTTAATCAGTTATGGAAACTCTACAGAGCAGTAAAGGAGAGTTGTGACTGACAGCAATAAAAGCATACATTTCCTGCAACTGCTATTGCCCATCCTTCTCCCTGCATGCAGTTTGCAAAGTTTGCCAGCGAGTGGCACCGTTGAGCGCAGATTTAAACGCTCAATCATCACTGCTGTGTGAACTCGCTCTGACTCAGCAAAACCTGCCTGCTACTGCTGCAGATACAGCAACACAGTCCAATGCAGAGCTACTCTCTGTTGGCATCTTATAGCTGTATACACAGTTTCACTTGAAGGGATAGGTGTAAAAACATTAGTATGTACAAAAAAAGAAAAAGGCATCATCAATAAGGCTCACTCTCGCACACAACCACACCACAAAAACATGACCAGCAATACTTAGAACACACAAACAGGAGAAACAACATATTGCTCTGCATACACCCTGCACACACAAACTCTGAGAGAGCTGCCATTAAATGAACTGTGAGAAACACACACTGACGAGCATATACAGATGGGATACAGAGCAAGAGGCTCCTATTCATTATTGTTGCTTGCCTCCTCAGCTGTAGAGCAAATCCCTTCAGCTGACAGAGAAAGAAAGAGAGCAAGAGGAAGGAGTGGGTTTGTTTTCTGCCAGTTCTGTGGACAAACAAAGGCTACTTCTAGACCTTCTAGAGAATAGACCAGACAGAGTGAGCACTCGCGGTCTGGTGCCTTTTCGGTGTCACACAGCATTTTCACAGCATACATAAAAATTCACACGCAGCAAGAGCTAGAACAGGGAGGTCCACTAGGACAACAAACATCTGAGGAAGGAAAAAATTCAGCCAGAACAACACTGTAGTTATTAACACAAATAAATACCTTACATTTTAAAATATCGCCATGCTTACATCTGTCTTAATATTGTTTAATATAAACTTGGCTCTAAATTGCATTCCTAGTTTAAAACCTGCTGCCATGTTCCAGGACGTGTTATCGCAAGAAAAGGTTGTCCACAGTAACCCTACACACTTTTAATAACGTGATCTACTCGCTCTACAGACAGACAAGTAACTGGAGATGCAGACTTCCTGGGACAGGGCCACATGCGGTTCAGAGGCTCATGTTTGACGACATTGTTGAAATCATACATCTCACTATTCAATTCTAGCAGAGTTCATTATCTTTAAAGGATGTCTTATTTGCACAGTAATGCGTGACTTTCGTGGTATTCAGTATGACTAGACCCGGGCCTTAAATGCTTTGCACATTCAGTGCCGTACATGACTCAAATGCCTGATAAGCGTTAGCCTTCTACGGAAGAGTCCTAGCAAGTCACTGGCAGCAACATCCAGAAGGAATAAATCTCTACAAGTCCAGAGGTATTAAGAAGGGAAGCTGTGTGATGTTGGTAATTTATGTCTTTAAAAATAACAGGAAGGAAGTGAGACTGGACCTTTTCACTTTACCCCCCCCCCGAACAGTGTGTGACTCCAGCCTTAGCGAATCACCATTGCCAAGTCTCCGCTTTGTCTTCTCAAAGCTGACACATTTTTGTAATTGGATCGGTTTTATTTTGTTTTATACGCTCCTTTTAATCACTGTCATTATCGTGGTTAAGCACATTGTAGTTCTATTGATAAAAGGAAAAGAAATGTGAATTTTAATAGCACAACACTAATAATGGTATAAATCGCATTGAGTTTTATGGCTCGAAAACAAATAAAGATAAAATAATGCCACGTATTCTGAGTCTTTGTATTATGACTACTACCGTGACTGTGCCATTATATCTGCACTGATTGAACATCATGTAAAAACGTGCCAAAGCTTTTTAACAACTCTTTCTCCCCTCGAGGTCAAGGTAGGGTCATACCTTATGCCCGGCAGGAAGATGACTAAGAGTTCAGATTAGCGATCTCTAAACAGACAAACTCTCTGATCACTGGGGTGGAAAAACAGAGCGAGATAACTCTGAGTTACTCATCACACCTTCAACATACAAATCAAGCCTGATTTGTGGTTCTACTTAACCTCAAGCCCTGAATCAGTGTGCCCTTTTTCTTCCAAAAGTCTTTACTGCACTTCCACGTTAATCAGTCAACAGAGTGCTATAACAGTGATGCATCAGCACATGGGTTTCCACTGAGTTTGACTAAATCCCAGTAGCATGGCGTGTGTCGGTGTCTGTCTGTGCGTGCGTGCGTGTATGTCTGTCAGCAGCGGTAAGACTGAGAAAATTCTTCCACGTACAGCTCCACTGCAGCTTTGCACAAAGGGCTTGTGCTTCTCTACTTAACCATGTAGTTTGTACAGCATTAAATTTGTCATAAAGTTATTCCTGTGCAACATTAAATCAACTGCAGGAACAGACAGTTCCTTCCCTGTCCCCGTCTACGGTCCACACACCGATGCACCTCTCAGAGGCCCATCTCTAATGAGAAATAACTCAGTGGAGATTAGTTCCATACCATTTGGCACAGATATGCACCCAAACGTATGGGCCCTCTGCGCTTCTTTATTTAGGAAAGAAGTTTTGGAGTGGGACCTCGTTTATTTACAAGAAATGTTTGTGAGTCATGTTCACATGAAACCACCTGACTATTCAAACTCGACAGTTTACTACATTGGCCATGGATTTGTATTGAGGGCTTTCGCAAACCAAATGTTATATGAACAAAGGAAGACATGTGGGATTAGAGCTGCCACAAACGATTATTTTGATAGTCGACTAGTCACCGATTATTTTTGCGATTAGTCGACTAATCAGATCATCATCCATTGGACGTACAGCGTACAGCATATTGCACCAGCAGCATCTGCTCTTATATAACTATCACTAGCTTACAGCTTTAAGTGTTTCAGGTATGTGCTAACTAAAAATAAAGACAAGATGATAGTTTATTAAAGTTTAATGAAATTTGCAGATTGTTTCGGTGAAGTTTAATAAACTCCTTGCTATCTAAACTATAACAGGACACCGGAGTAAATTCTCCAGCGTCTCACACTTCTGATAATCAGCTGTCTGCTTGACATTTATTCAGCTGTGTAAAAACTATAACTTTAATCTCAGCCAAACCGATTTACTCAGGAACAAATAAAATACTGAAAAAAGCCAAACAATAACATGTTTAAGTTATCTAAGTGACTTATATATCATGTTTAACCTGAGTAGTGAAAGACGGCGGTGGGTTTGAAAACGATTTGCCGGGACTCCGGTGTTCTCAGGGCTCTAGTTAGCCTTGCCCCCGGCTAGCTATCGAGCTAGTGGGTAACAGACGTCTCCGAAAACGTCGGAGCGCTTTTGAAAATATGCGGTGATAAACTGAGCAGATATTTGAGGTTCACACAGCTACATTCTCGCCTGAAAATATGTTAAATGTTTATTTTGTGACCCAGAAAGAATAATAAGAGTAATATTAAAACTAACTAGCTGCCGCCATTGTTGGAAACTGAGCTGGGCTGCGCTATGAATTCTGGGACACAGCTTCTTCTTCTTCGGGGTTTAACGGCAGCTGGCATCCTTGTACATGCAGTGCTGCCATCTTCTGTTTCAGTCCGTTATTACACTCTTAAATCCTACTACTTATTCCAGCGTCTTTTGTGATCTTACAAAGCTTCAAACGACACGTCGACTATTAAATCAGTCGTCGACGATTTTAATAGTCGACGTAATCGTGACTAGTCGACTAATCGTGGCAGCCCTATGTGGGATAGCACATAGTTTGCTCACATAAAAACTTTCTGGGCATCGTTCAGTTTTGATTGAAGTTCAGCTGCAGATAGAAGCAAAGCATCTCTCTGCAGTCTAACCTTACGATTGCTTTAATGTACTTTTTTTTTTTAATGTCATGTCGAGTCATGTTGCTCATTACTCTTCACACCCTAAAACAAGACGCCCTCACCGTTAAAACAATGGGTCTGAGGGTGCATCTGAGGTCTGGTTGCTCATCTTTCCTGTCATCTTCAACTTCACCTTAGGCTTTTACTGACAAGCCAACCGAAGACTGCAGAATGATTCAATGCAGTGAAAGTTCTTTCTTTGATGGTTCTTGCTGATGCACCAGAGAAAGCAGCTGTTTTCCTCTCTTAAACGGCAACACACCGTTGCATTTTTCTCAGTTCAAATAGCTACAGGGATGTAATGCATTCATAATTATAACAATCATAAAAGTAAGAGCAGGATTTTCATAATTGTCAGGAATGTGCTCAGAGCGGAAGAGTTAAGAAAAAAAACTGCTGTGGTGGGCTGATACATTCAGACAGGCCAGGACTTCAGGGATGGTCACGCTGCTGCTGAGAAAGTAAATCTGTCCTTTGCTGCTTAAATACCTTATGATTCAATGTGTCATTGCCAGCAAATTCCAGCTTCACGTTTCAGGTTTGTATGAGTCACTTTTTCATTGAAATCTCCATCTCAACCTTACCCTAAAACCCACCACCCACTGTGGTCCAGCTAACAAATGAAACGATAAATAGCGAAACTAATTTGCCAACAAAGTCATTAACCTTGCAAACACTGTTCACATGCCTTTATTCCAGAACGCACTGTAAAATGAAAAGGATGACTACTGCTGCTTATGCATTGCGCAGCAGGCGGAACGCATAAACCACATCCAAAGCACAGCCAGGAAACCCAC